TGGCGTCACCCCAGCGACCCAGCCTGTCCAGGTCCCTCTGCAGGACCTTCCTGCCCTCCAGCAGATCAACACTTCCACCCAACTTGGTGTCGCCTGCAAACTTACTGAGGGTGCACTTGATCCCCTCATCCAGATCATCAATGAAGATGTTGAACAGGACTGGCCCCAGCACTGAGCCCTGGGGAACACCACTCGTGACCGGCCGCCAACTGGCTAGGCCTCCTCTACCCCAGCAGCATTCAACTACAGTTTGGAAAACACAGCACCTACAGAAATCAAGGCCTTTAGACTATGCCTAAATGTAATGCTGTGAGTCCGATGTCTGGTCATGATTTTTCACCTGTGCCAGCTGAAGAACTGGCTCTGAACATTAGTATTAGCAGAATGATTAAGGAGCAGAGGATGAGAGATAATACATGAGGAGGGAGTGGAAGTATGAAATCAGAACAGGAAAGGGTTGCCATCCCTAATTAGTTTCTGGAAAGGTCTAGGCACTTGACTGCTATTAGGGAAACATGGGTTTAAGGCTCCCTCTGATTTAAACTGATGATAGGAAAGTATCCTGACCATCAGACTATGCTGATGTGTCTGTCCATGGATGGTGACTTTTTCTTTGATTCTGACATAAAAAAACCTGTGCCTCAAAACCTTTCCCCCTTCAGAAATGAGAGTACCTATTTCCCTCCTGGAAAAAAAAAAACAAAACCAAAAACAACTAAAACCAAAGCCTCACACCAAAAAAAAACAGAAACAAACAAACTGACAAAGTTTGATTTCTTTCTGATAAAAACAAATTCTGCTTGCAAAAATTGCCAAGTATTTCTACATGAAAGGGACATTTTTAAAACCTCAGCATGTGCTGAGACCTTTTCCTTTCCATTCAACTTTTCAACTATGCACCTTCTTCAAGTCCAGCCACCAATGCAACATTATTCCTCTATACCAGAATTTGAGTCAGCAAGATTTACAAAAAGAAGGGAAAATGTCAGAGGCTGGAAAAAAATAGAAGCGTGGTAAGGGGTTCAGGTGAAAGGGAACAGCAAATACCAGTTGACAAGGAATATACCAATGTGCCTAGGAGATGATGAAGAACAGCATATATGCAGTCCTGAGCTGGAAAGAAATTGGTCAGCAAAGCAATAGTTTAGCATTATGCTAACATTGTCCAGAAAAGTTGCCTATATCAGTGAGATCCCCAGGTTAGAGTTCCCTCCTACAATTATGGCCTGTTAAATAAGAAGTGGCCCAGTGCTACTTTCTCTTGTGTGTCTACCCTTTCCAAAAATGGTTAATTTCCCATTGTTAAGAAATTTGTGTAGTTTGTCCTATTTTTTAAATTGGATACTTAAATTTTCCGTCCTTCTTATGGCCTTTTTGGAATTGTGTGTCTCCCTCTGCATGTACTGTACATGCAGTCAGTTGTGCAGCCAAAAAATCATGAGGCTAATTAAATTTTAACTGCACATAAATTAGATGAGATAACAGTAGTTGAATGCTTTCTGGTTTAAATTATACAAAATTCAGATTTACACAAGGTGTGCACATGGGGATGGCTTGGGAAACAATTATTCATACACCCCACCCTAATCCAAATGTAATCATCTCCCAGCCATACTGATTACACCATTCTAAAAAAAGCCCACTCTTTGGGTTGGGAAGTGATTGTTCCTTGGTACCCCTCCAAACTTTACTGACTCTTTTTTTTTTTTTTTTGCTTTTGTAACAAGAATAGGAGAAATCCTGGGCCAGTACCTCTCTCTGTCTTCTTTTTCTGAGACTGAACTTAGGCAGACAGATGATACAGATGCATATAAATACAAGACAGACTGCATTTAATGAATTATATAAACTTTCTTCTACTCTCTCGCTTCCCATCACCCTCAGAACAGACGCTGGAGTAGTGTCATGCAAGTCAGTGGATCAGCAGGTTCACTCGCACTGACTTCCAGTCTCACTCTTGAAAAGGCTGTGAGCATCGCTGTCATTCGGGGCTAGCAGAGCCATGGAGCTCCCAGCTGGGGTGGTAGGGGCTGGTGGGACCAGGAGTTATGGCAGGGTAAACATCTGCCTAGACGAGGCACAATCATTCTTTTCTCCAGTGCTTTGCTATTCATTTGTTAAACTGTTTTTAAATATGTGTCTAAACCCTTACTAAACTGCTACTTCAGGATTTATTATTGCTCATTTCAAAAGACCTTCTCATGGTAACAGTTATGTAAAAATTGTTTCCTGATAGACTGTTCTCTGTTGTCTGGCAAAGGCTCTGGGCTTATATCACTGCAAGACATATGGGTCTAACAGATTTACAAAGACTTAACATACAAATGAAACCAATTACTGCTGAAGTCTTCGTCCATGCCTTAATAATCTCTTGCCCTCTCTGTTACAACTCCCTCTTTTCTGGACTCCCCAGTTTCCAAGTCTTTGGCATGTGCAGAATATTACATCCAACCTTCTTTCAAGTACAAAGAACTTGTATTTCCCCCATTTTCAGATATTTCCACTAGATCTTGTTCGTTCTGGGATGCTGTTCAAAACTCTTTTCCTTCCCTTTAACCTTTCATTGATATATTTCAGCCTAGTGAACATAAAGCCTTCTCTGCCTCAGCCCTTTCCCTAAACCTTCTGTCCAGCTGGCACCCACTTTATGAATTGATTTTGACTTCAGTGGAAGTAGAATTGGATCCACGGATACCTAGATAAGACCTTAAAATGCACTCATGCTGTCTGAGAACGCACATCTTACCATTTCATATGCTGAAAACAGTTTCAGTATGAGCCTTTGCCTGCACAGCCTTTGCTGTCTGCAACAGACTTTCCTCCACACTGAGACCCTGACGCAGGACAGCATTTTAGCCCATGCTGGGGTCTCAGTGAGATCCGGGACTTGAACCTGTGCTTCATGTTAAGCACTGTCCTCAGCAGAGATGGTACTGACAATATGTTTAAGTGTTTTCCTGAGCAGCCGCCTAACTCCAATTCTTTTCTAAATTTCACCTGAAAACCAACTTTCTGTCTTGGCCACTCCTCCTCATTTACCTCTCCATCTGCTATTATTGTATAACTCTGCCTGTACAACTGAAATCAGAGCAATGTTCTGGAGGTAGGCTGTGTTTTAAAGTTGCTAACCAAGGAAAACCTGCGACCGCAGCACTCTCTGAATTGCAAAGACATGTTTTGCACTGACATTGTCCTTGTACCTCTCTATTTGATGTATGAGCTATGTATTTATCTGTCTTTCAGGTTCATTTGATGTTCCCTGATCATGTACCAAAGCCATGCTGTGCACCAACAAAACTGAATGCAATCTCCGTGCTCTACTTTGATGACAGTTCCAATGTTATTTTAAAAAAATACAGGAATATGGTGGTGCGTTCATGTGGCTGCCACTAGAATAAAAAAAATAATCTAAAGCAGAGGGTTTTATTCAGAATTGTAATAAAGTCAAGATATGAGCTTTGCTGATGAAAAGGCAGTTCTAAATTTATTCCATTTCATGTCATCTCTCATTTAAATGTACAGTGTAATGTATATAGTAGCTTTTATTTATTTAAAAGTATATAGTTTCTTTTGTATGCGCAAAATTTCAAAACCATTTATTTTATGGGTCACCTTACTATGCAGTAGAATTTCACAAACTAATTTTTCAGTTGACCATACTGGAATCTATTTCATTCCATTTCGATATTTTAAAGCAAAGCCTTTGTATAGATTTTTTTAAAGCTAGAAACTCCAGAACTTCTGTAACTGCTTCATATTGTTAAAGGAACTAAAATATGTTTGGTCATATTGTGCCAATGAAAACTGTGGCGGGGTATTTATTTAGAAAAAGGCACAGAAAAAAAACTAAACAAAACTGCTTGGCTAAACATATTTTGTCTTTTAGAAGTTCTGCTCCATTAGAAAAAGTGAAATGTCGAACAGTGTTTAAGTAAATAAATAGTAGATAGAAAATAGAAGTGAAAAGATTGCACATAATTGTTATAACTATTTTCTTTAACAAGATGAGTGTAACTGGAGGAGTATGTTACTTCTTGGCTTATGGGCTGCAGAGTTTGCAAAAGGCTCAAAGCTTCGGGAATTCTGTGGAGACAGACTTGTGCCTCTATCTATGACTTTCCAAGTTAACACTAAAAATTGAACTACAACATTCTTACCTCAGATCGCATCAGTCTATTATCTATTACACTGCTCCAGCAAATGTTTTTATAATAACAGCACAAGGTAAAATCAAACAAAAAAACCACACAAGCCTTCCCATTACGTACACAAGTTACTATATACACAAAATATACAGAATACAGGGTATGGCAGGGCTTTGCTCCATTTAGGTCCCACTTTTGGATGTGTTTTCTGAGTGTGCGAGGGAAGGCACAGGGGATGCTACAGTTGTCACCTGTTTAATTGAAAATCTTGTCCCTGATGGTGGCTGTTTCCAGGCAAAGATGAAAAACACCTTTCATAACAACCCATTGGGTGATTCTCAGCCTACTTTCTGTCCCACCTGCTTTTCTGTCAGGTGGAAATTGGTTTAAATCACGCGATGTAAGATGGGATATCTTTTCCTTTTTTTTAGCATTAACTATCATAACTTTGAAAATTCTTAAATCCATATAAATAATTTTTAATCTCCCTAAATTTTTGGCCTCAAATGAAATCCTGTGGTTGTGAATTGCACAACTAATTACAGATTATCATTCTCACCACCACTACCCATATGCTTATTTTGAATTTACCACATTTAATGTCTTTGGACATTTGTTTTAGTTGGACCCCTTTGTTTTAGTGTTATGGAAATGGGAAATAGAAACTCTGTTTTCTCTATACTACATGGCTATTTATAATATATACTTTTATCATGAATTGCCTTGATTAAAAATGCTTCATTTAAACACTTCTCCAAGTGTTGTTAAAAAGTGAATAGGACATACCCGTTTCTCCTTAGACAGTCTATTCATGTAAACTCGACTTCTCTGGTTATTTAAAGCATATTTCAGAAAACTCAGATTATTACAGACTGATAAAATCAACATGTGTGTGTGACTGTGTGTATGCATGTGAATGTGCCACTGTCTTTTTGCAGGAACTAATTTATTTTATCTTGCTATTGGAGTAATACATAAATCCTTTTTATGCATACACTCTGCTTTTTTGAAAAATTAACAGTTCTGATTTCAGTCTTAGGAGCTCTTTCCCCTTAATACAACAGTTCCATTTTACACTTTCATCTCTATTTTATACTGACATTACCTACATATCTATGCTTAGTTGCAGTTCATGCACAAGGATGTATAGCAAAATATAATGTCTCCAACTGAATTACCATTTTGGAACAGTTAAATTCCTGGGTTGTCTTCAGAAAATTTACTGGTTTCTGTATAAATTGGGTAGGTGGGTATGTTTTTTTTAACTCAATTTATTCTAAATGGAATTTGATGGAAACTAAATTTTGGGTACATTAAGTAATATATTTTTAAATAATGGTGTACCATTTTGAGAATAAGAAACTGAAGATTATTGTTATATTATTCTTTAAAATATGCTGTTGGAATATATTTCTATATTTTGAGACATAATAAACCTGTAATACTATTTTCTTCTGCTGTGATTTTGCTTCTGAGACACATGACAAAATTACACTGGCTTCATATATTCTCTTAAAGGTAAAAGCAAGAGATCACCAATAGTTATGGATAGGTTTTGCTGCAGTTCATTTTTAATAGAGACATTTTGTGAAATTACTTTTATTTTACTGCTTCTTAAGTTACAGCTGGTGAACCATCTACACTATTAATAAAAATCATACCTCCAAATCATACCTCCAAATGTTAATACTCCACTCAAAATATACTAGAAAGTAGAAATAGTTTAAAAAAAACCTCCATAAAACCCTAACTTGTCATTCCTGTTTGAAAGGAAGGATAGTGGCACCAGACCCTCTGCATGCTCTGGGTAAGTGAATATATGTGTGTTTTCATGTAAAATTGCTCAGGTGAGCCCTTGTCCAGTAGTACCTAATACAGGGCTTTTTGTTCTTTTGCTAGGTCCTATCAAATTCCTGTTCTTTTATATATATTTATAAATAATATACACACACACATATATATAATATAATGTGTATGTAATGACATTAAATTATATTAAATATATACCCACACATATAGCTATATCTATTTCTATAGTTATGAAGACCATTCCATTATTGTTTAGGACATGACAGCTTTTTTCTTTTTAAAGTTGTTTAAGCTTTCTGTATCCTTAACAACTGGAAAGTCTAAAGGACTAAAACCCAGAAAAAGAGAAGCAGCTCTGTACAGAATTAATGTTACTTTATGGGTCAGAGCTTCTTAGTCTTTAACTTACTCATAATGTTAACACCATTGCTACACATTTTGGGTCAAAATCAAATGTTTACAGGATGTTACTAGTGAGCACTTCAGTGGCTTAGGACTATTCACCCAGTGGAAGGCAGAGTTAAGAAGTGAATAGTATTGCAGCAGTGATTTCATCTCCCTTTAAAAGCACATCGTTCTCTGACTGTGATTTTGATGTCCAAGACAAGGTGAGCTCTGACTGACTGAAGTGTGGAGCATTTCTAAGTTCTCTGATATGCTAAGCCGTGAACCCACATAACAGTCTTCCCTCAGTTAGACCACCTAATGGGCATCATTCCTTTATCATGATGCCCATTTTGCACAAAGTACTTATAGCGTCAAGCTTTTCTGATTTTTGCCAAAAAAAATTAGTTAGGGAGCAGGGGTGGGAGACATTTGCTGATAGTCAAAAACATGCTTGTTCAGATTGCATTAGCCCTTTTTTTGATACAAGATCAAGCTAAAAACTAAATTCCTATAAAGCTGGCTGGTAGCTGACAACATAACAATACATCCGATCAGTACAAAACTCATCTAGAGATATCTCACGTAAACATTGGCACGGATGTCTTCAAACAAAAAGGATGATCATTCCTTGTTCTGTTGTGTATCCATTTGAAGGGTGTCTGAAGGGACATCTGACTGACACGTCCTTTACAACTCCATGACTCTTCCTTCTGCAGTGGCCTGTTTAGGCTTTTAGGTTAATATGCATTTGTGTTGAGTCATTGGGTAGGTAATATAAATGGAGCCATATGAGGAGCTCAGGTATCTTCAGCAATAAGAAACCAGTCCTTTATAGGTCCACAGGACTGCACAGCTGTTTATTTTTCATGTTGGTACCTATAGGACTATAAAACAGTATTTAGTCTTTATATTACGATAGAAGTCAAATGTCAGAAAATTTGGGGCCTCATTTTATTAAATACTATATACATGAGTGCTGTGAGTTACATCTATACTGTAGACACTGGAACTGAGACTTTCTTTAGGGACAACATAGAGAAATTGCACTTGTCAATTGCAATTCACCTATTTCTCTCCAAAAACTATGAAGTGGGTTTAGGACAATGGCTCTGTTATAGACCTTGTCTGAGCAACTGTAGCAAATTACAATCCCTGATACCTTTAAAATAATGTTACATTGTTGAAAAAGTTTAACTGGGATGTTTAATTGGGTGGCAGACCTTTGAGAAAACTTTTGTTGTTGTGATGGGATGTCAGACAATTCCATTTTGAAATATAATTTTCTCTACCTTTTACTTGGAAAAGGTTGTATTGCTGACTGCATATTTCTTCTGCTTTGCTTTTGTTTGTTTGTTTTTTTGGTTTTTTTTTTTGTCAGCTCCTCTTTTGAAACAGTTTCATAGTAAATTGACTTTGACTCAAACATGGTTAAAAAAAGGGTTTAGGCCTGTATTCATAAGATTCTGAATTGTTTCAGCAATAAGCAAAGGATTTTAATCACCAGAACTTTCAAATTATGTTCTTTGCAATCTCTACCAACTTTTGTGCTCACACATTCAGCTGTGCATAGGGAGAATCTGACATGTGGTGCCTGAATGACGAACAAGCCACATGTGAATTATACAGCATTATCTTTTACTATCTCATCTGCAGTCACAGAACTTGCAAACTGTGATTTACAATGTGTTACTGAATTCTTACTCACATGGCTTGAGCAAGAGCTTGATTAAAAACAAAAGAAAACTAAACTAAAAAATCCAAGACAAAACAGCAAGAGGAGGTTTTCTTGCCATCTTAATTCAAATAAATCAGCACCAAAACGTGGTACATGGGGATTGGGAATCTCATGTGAATTAAATGGGTCTTTTGTATTCTGTTTTCCATATTTACAACACATGACACCGACACTTCTCCCGACTGCTTTATTTCCAGCTAAATACTTTCTGTTCTGTTCCTGCACTTTTTTGCTTCCAGATGGGCGCCATCAATTATTGTTATTAATATGAATGAAGATATTTTCATTGCTTTAGCAGATGTTAATGCTTTACAAAAGAAGTATGTGTTATTAGTATTGCTACTTTACAGGTACAGAAAGGTGGAGAGACTTGCGTAAGATAAGAGCAGATGAGAGGCAGTATAGGGGAGACAACCAGATCTCCAGTGTCCCAGTGCTCTAACCCCTATCACACACTCTTGGTGGAGTGATGCATACACTTGACACTCCTGTCCTTGCAGCTTATAACTTCTATGGATGACAGGCAATCTTAGGGGTTACCTGGACCTATACTTTGCATTTACCAAGTACTTTTCTAGTTTCATGATTTTTTTGTGGAAATCTGAGCAGGACTGATAAAACTGGGGCATGTGCAGGGTGCAGACCACATCTTTCCTATGTGGGGGTGGTTATATTTTAAAGCTACTTCTACAGAACCAACCAAAATGTGCTTGAAGGAGATTTTGGAGCACCTTTTCAACAGCATTGTAAATCTGCACCAGTAGAGTTGAAGGCATATCCCTCCCTT